GATATTCCTTACCACAATAATACATCTGACCACCAACAAGCTTTCAGTTTGAATGGAACTAAACTACTGAATGGATGGTAAACTGTTTAATCTCAGCTGACTCCAAGCCAATATTAAGACCACCCCAACTTCAATCATTGAACTCCAGTACGCTGATGATGCTGTAGCGGGTGCTCATTTAGAAGCAGACCTTCAGGCAATCATTGACGACTTTACTGAGGCATACAAGAAAATGAGACTGACACTTAACATTCAGAAGATTAAGGCCCTCTATCAACAAGCTCTTAATGAGCAGTCCCCAGCTCCAGTAATTCAGATTCACAGCAAGACTCTGAAGAACATTGAGTATTTCCTGTACCTTGAAAGCCTTCTCTTGCAGAAGGCTGCATCTATGAAGACATCCAACATTGCCTCAAATGTGCAAGTGCAGCCTTCAGATGCCTGAGGAAATGGGTGTTTGAAGATTGTGAGATCATATCCAAAACCAAGCTCATGATTTATCAAGCAGTTATGATTCCCATCTTACTGTACAGAGCTGAGACATGGACAAAATACAGGAGACACCTCAAATCATTGGAGAAGTACAATCAATGTTGCCTGCAGAAGATCCTTCGAACCCAGTGGGAAGATTGATGCAACAATACCAGTGTCCTCTCACAAGCAAACACCACAAGAACAGAGGCAACGATCTTCTGACATCAACTTCACTGAACCAGCCATGTCATCCAGATGGATGTCCAACTCCAGACTCCCGAAGCAAGCGTTGTTCTCCCAGCTCAAGGCATACACTCAAAAAGAGGGCAGAGAATGTGCTTCAAAGACATACTCAAAACCAGCTTCAAAAACTGCAACATCGATATCAACTAGTGGGAGACTATTGCCCAGGACTGCCCCAAATGAAGGAAGAGTCTGGTGCAAGGATCTCAGTACTCTGAAACCTTATAAGCACTACAGGAGATGGAAAAGCAGGAGCAGCAGAAATAACGTGTCATGGACTAAATGAAGAATCTGGAGCTATCCACGCTGCACAGAAACACATGCTCGAATTGCAGCAGACTCTGTCAATCCCAGATCGGCCTCATCAGCCACCTTCAGACCCACAGGGAAGATTATCATGAAAAACCATCATCCTCGACTGCAGGGAATTGCTGAAGAAGTGGTTTGATGGGCTTTTTACAGTTGATCCACTAGAAATCAGGTTCCTAACTTCTGTGTAACGTACACTTTAGGCATGTAAATCTTTATTTAGATCTAACCCCCAATTTGTTACTACAGGATTTTAAGGAGAAGAAACTCTGATGCTGACAGGCCAGTTATATCCATTATCAATAGTTCATTTTTTAAAAATAGTTTCCACCTAGTCTTATATATCTGGAACTCATGAAATAATGAAAGCTTTTGGCCAAACCATGCCTGTATTCTACAAGTCCAACTTTTGCAAGTCCATTCATAGCATCCAACTAAGCAGGCATATGAAAGCTTATGCCTCTCTGAACAGGTTAGTCTCTAAAGCAGGGCTGGGGAACCTCCGGGCCACCGGTCAGCCGGGGACTCCATTTCCCAGTTGTCCCTGCCCACACAGCTTGTGCCGGTCTCCATGGAGACCTCAGCTGTGCTGGCAGTGCATGCAGCAGACCAGCGCAGGGAACGTGGGACGGGGCAGTTTGCTCCGGAGCCGCTATCTGTAGCCTGGAGGCTTCAGGCAGGGGCACGCATGCAGGGTATCATGGCTCTGCCCCAGCTCCAGACTAGCTGTCACTGCTCCAAGGAGCCAGGGTAGAGCCACTATCCCCTGCATGCATGCCCCTGCCTGGAGTGTGCCGGCTACAGATCACGGCTCTGCCCTGGCTCTGGAGAAAGCTGCCCCTGTCCTATATTCCCAGCAGCTCTGGAGCA